AAGCCACAGTCTTAGTGTTTCCTGTTGTTCTCTAGGCTCGTATTGAGGAACTGGAGGAGGAGATAGAGGCTGAACGTGCCTCTCGGGCGAAAGCAGAGAAACAGCGGGGTGATCTCTCCAGGGAACTTGAGGAGATCAGTGAGCGTCTGGAAGAAGCTGGTGGAGCCACAGCGGTTCAGATTGAGATGAACAAGAAGCGTGAGGCAGAATTCCAGAAAATGCGCAGAGACCTTGAAGAGGCCACTCTGCAGCATGAAGCCACAGCTGCCGCCCTCCGGAAGAAGCATGCGGACAGCACAGCAGAGCTTGGGGAGCAAATCGACAACCTGCAACGAGTCAAGCAGAAGCTGGAGAAGGAGAAGAGTGAACTGAAGATGGAGATTGACGACCTGGCTAGTAACCTGGAGACTGTCTCCAAAGCCAAGGTACAGAAACAAAAAATATGTGTATAAACATATATGTTTATTGCAGAAAACAGACTGCACCTTCAGATTTGCACTTGTAGTAGTAGTCTTAAATAATAATAAAGAAGAAAAATTCACTGATGTTATTGCTGTTGTTATGTCACATATATAATAAGATTTTTACTTTACTATTTGCATAATATTCAGTTTTATGAAGGGTGAGGTTTCCTTACTAATTGAGCCCATATGTAGTTTGTCATGACAAAGATCCTAATGATCTCAGAATGCTGGAGAGCCCATGTGTTTAATCCTCTTTCTTTTTGTTCCATTTCACACAAAGGCAAACCTTGAGAAAATGTGCCGCACTCTGGAAGATCAGCTTAGTGAGGTTAAGACAAAGGAAGAAGAGCATCAGCGTATGATCAATGACCTCAGCGCTCATAGAGCTCGTCTACAGACAGAATCAGGTAAAACATACATGTTGTACAACTGTGAGCGCATACAGGAGAGGCTGGAATAGGAGGAAATTTCCATCGTATGCACAACATCTGATCCACCATAAGAACGGCCATATTGGGTCAGACCAAAGGTCCATCTAGGCCAGTATCCTCTATTCTGACAGTGGCCCATGCCAGGTGCCCCAGAGGGAAAGAACAGAACAGGTAATCATCAAGTGATCCATCCTCTATTGCTCATTCCCAGCTTCTGGCAAACAACCTATCCTGCCTGCCAATCTTGACTAGCAGTCATTGATGGACTTATCCTCCATGAATTTATCTAGTTATTTTTTGAACGCTGTTATAGTCTTGGCCTTCTCAACATCCTCTGGCAACAGGGCCGGCTCTAGGCACCAGCAATACAAGCTGGTGCTTGGGGCGGCACATTTTTAGGGGCAGCACGGCCAACGCCAGAATGCCCCCCCTAAAAATGTGCCCTGGCCGCCCTAGCTCACCTCCGCTGCCGCTCTTGCGCCACTTCTCCCCCTCCCTCCCAGGCTCTCAAGGCTCTCAAACCTGGGAGGGGGGGGGAGATCCCAAGGGGCCGGGGGAGGGGTAGTTAAAAAACGGGGGGGGGCAAAATTGTTTTTGCCTTGGGCGGCAAAAATCCTAGAGCCGGCCCTGTCTGGCAAGGAGTTCCACAGGTTGACTGTGCATTGTGTGAAAAAATACTTCCTTTTGTTTGTTTTAAACCTGCTGCCTATTAACTTCATTTGGTGACCCCTAGTTCTCGTGTTATGAGAAGGGAGTAAATAACACTTTCTTATTTACTTTCTCCACATCAGTCATGATTTTATAGACCTCAATCATATCTGCCCTTAGTCGTCTTTTTTCCAAGCTGAAATGTCCCAGTCTTATTAATCTCTCCTCATATGGCAGCCGTTCCATGCCCTTAATCATTTTTGTTGCCCTTTTCTGAACCTTTTCCAATTCCAATATATCTTTTTTGAGATATGGCGACCACATAAGCACAAAGTATTCAAGATGTGGGCATACCATGGATTTATATAGAGGCAGTATGATATTTTCTGTCTTATTATCTATCGCTTTCTTAATGGTTCCCAACATTCTGTTTGCTTTTTTGATTGCCACTGCACATCGAGCAGATGTTTTCAGAGAACTATCCACAGTGACTCCAAGATCTCTCTCTTGAGTGGTAACAGCTAATTTAGACCTCATCATTTTATATGTATAGTTGGGGTTATGTTTTCCAATGTGCATTACTTTCCAGTTATTAACATTGAATTTCATCTGCCATTTTGTTGCCCAGTCACCCAGTTTTGAGAGATCCCTTTGTAGCTCTTCGCAGTCCGCCTGGGACGTAACTATCGCGAGTTGTTTTGTATCGTCTGCAAATTTTGCCACCTCACTGTTTACCCCTTTTTCCAGATCATTTAGAATATGTCGAATAGGACTGGGCCCAGTACAGACCCCTGGGGGACACCACTATTTACCTCTCTACATTCTGAGAACTGACCATTTATTCCTTCCCTTTTCCCCCCCATCTTTTAACAAGTAACAAATCCATGAGAGGGCCTTCCCTCTTATCACATGACTGCTTAATATGTTTAAGAGCCTTTGGTGAGGGATCTTGTCAAAGGCTTTCTGAAAATCTAAATACACTATATCCACTGGATCCCCTTTGTCCACATGCTTGTTGACACGCTCAAAAAATTCTAGTATATTGGTGAGGCATGATTTCCCTTTACAAAAACCATGTTGACTCTTTCTCAACAAATTATGTTCATCTATGTGTCTGACAATTTTGTTCTTTACTATAGATTCAACCAGTTTGCCCAGTACTGAAATCAGGTTTGCCTGTAATTGCTGGGGTCACCTCTGGAGCCCTTTTGAAAAATTGGCGTCACATTAGCTATCCTCCAGTCATCTGGTACAGAAGCTGATTTAAATGATAGGTTACAGGCTACAGTTAGTAGCCCTGCAATTTCACATTTGAGTTCCTTCAGAACTCTTGGGTGAATACCATCTGGTCCTGGTGACTTATTACTGTTTAATTTATATTATATTAATAATTTATTAATTTATATTATTGCCCACATTCTATGGTACAGTTTGGTTCAGTTATGATTTTTACTTCATTTGATTCTACACTTTCTTTCACATAGAGTGTGACTCTCCCACCAACACAACCTGTTTTGTCCTTCTGATATATTTTGTACCCTGGTATTACTGTGTCCCAGTGATTATCCTCATTCCATCATGTTTCTGTCATGCCTATTATATCAATATCTTCATTTAATACAGGCACTCTAGTTCACCAGTCTTATTATTTAGACTTCTAGCATTGGTATATAAGCACTTTAAAAACATGTCACTTTTTCGCTGTCTCCCATTACATGATGTAATTGAATGAGACTTTTTTTCATTTGACTGTTTCTCATGAAAAAAAGTTTCTGCTTGACACCGGCTGTTAGCACTGATTACATCAGATTATCATCCTCTAGAAGACCCTCCTAAATTAATCTCTTTTAAAATAATAAATTACTTTATTATGTTCACTTAATTGCCATTTAATATAATCTATCTGGAATCTTTCTTAGGTGAATTTGCGCGCCAGGTAGAGGAAAAAGATGCTTTGATTTCTCAGCTCTCAAGAGGTAAACAGGCATTTACCCAACAGATTGAGGAACTGAAGAGGCATCTAGAGGAGGAGATAAAAGTGAGGATTTTTCCAACAGCCTTTTCTGTGAAGCTGGATTCTTGTTGTGAGCAAGATGCTTTAACCTCTAATGAAACCATAGCACCCTAGAGAATAGAGGGGGAAAGGTCCTGTTAGGTCACCTAACCCAGCCCCTGCCAATGCAGGATTGTTCCCTACATTATATTTATGAATGCTTTCATAGAGTCAGAATTTCAGACCTGAAAGAATCTGACCTGTATATCAGAGGCCCCCAACACAAATCAGCAACCACATACTAAGCCCATCATCCAAAATTAGACTGAAGTGTTACAACCCTCCGGAGATTAAACTATTGTGTGCCACAGGCAGTGAATAGGAGAGATCAAGGTGCGCTAATGCCCGAGGCACCTGCAGTTATCAAAACCCAGCGTAAAGTTTATCATCCATCGAATCTAGCACCACTTCCCCGGGATAGCTTTCCACAGTCTGACAGAGTTCAGTCAGGAGGATTCCCACGATATTTAGCTACATCACTGTGCTACTCCTGTTGTTTCTCCAGGCTAAGAATGCACTGGCCCACGCCTTGCAGTCTGCTCGCCATGACTGTGACTTGCTCCGGGAGCAATATGAGGAGGAGCAGGAAGCCAAGGGTGAGCTGCAACGTGCCCTGTCCAAGGCCAACAGTGAAGTTGCCCAGTGGAGAACCAAATACGAGACGGATGCCATTCAGCGCACAGAGGAACTGGAAGAGGCCAAGTATGTGCTGGGGTGGAGGACTGGAAGAGGACAAGAACTAAATGGGGAACTGTGAAGAGGCCAGTGATATGCTCAGGATGGGTCTGGAGGAGGCCAAGGATGTGCTTTGGGGAGGGTGATTAGAGGAGATGCAGTATATCCATTTAGT